TTCTAACATTAGAAACAAATCTTTCAAATCAGAAAAATGTAAGTCATGCGAAACTATGAAACTTGAAGTAACTAGCTTGTATGAAACCTTAGAAAATTTAGCTAAGGTTGAAGATAAGCTTGATTTAATCATGTCTAATTAAAGAGCTTCGTATAATAAAAATGGATTAGGTTATAAACTTAATATATCTTTTAAAAATATTTTCCACGGTAGAAAGAAATTAAATTGTCTTAATTTTAAGTGCAATTTTGTAATATGTTCGGGCACTTAGATCCTTATTGTCATTTCAAGTTAAATGATTTAAAATGGTCTAAAGAAAATAACTCTAGACCTCTTAGAACCACTAACACACTAAGACCCAAAAATATTTGGGTATCAAAAGTGAAAAACTAATTTGTTTTGCATAATTTTTTTGTAGCATTAAAGGAGATAAATTTGATAAGGTTGTACAAAGCATGAGCATACTATAAGTATACAAAGTAAAAGATGGTGTTTGGTGGTGTCTGATGATCCTGAGAAAGATTGATCAAGTTGTTTGTTGGCATTGATGCTTTTGTTCAACTACCATGATGGTCCTATTGTTTATGAAGTTTAAGAATTTTTTATGATCATGTCAGTTCTATACATTTTTGAGCAAACTCTCATATCAAGCGATACATAGAGATGGAAAATTGATAGTGGTTTTCCGTTCCCTTCTGAGTGGGAGTTTTCACGAGATATCTTGAGATTTTAGAGGTGAAACACTTGGTAAAAATTTAATCGAAAAACTCTAATGAAGTTTTCTAGCAAGTGGTCTTATTTATGCTTAGTGAATACTATTTTATCACTAACATATTTTTGGTTTGAGTTAAATTTTCTCTTAGCAATATTTCCATGCAAAAAAAAAAATTAAATATATAGCCAAGGAGTGCAATGTTGAAGAAATAAGGGTGCTAAAATGAAAATGACCAAACTCAAGTGCGTGTAAAAAGACCCAAAAAGAGAAAGAAAGTAGAAATCAAACTACGTAATTGATTACTCTATAGATTTAATCAATTATAGGCTTTTAGAAATTCAAACTTCATTCCTCATAATCGATTAACCATAATGCATAATCGATTATGACCTCTATAAGTGTGCACCGCCAGCAATAAATTATAAGGGTTTATGGCATTAATTAATCTAATCGATTATCAGGGCTAATAATCGATTAGAGGCAGTCTGTAAATAGGTATTTCACCCTCTTTTCCATTCATCCCATCTTTTGTTTTCTTCTTCTTCTTTTTCTTACTTGTGTTTTCTCTATATGTGTGCAAATATTACTTACAATCTTTATCATTATCATGATGGCTCCAAAAAGGAATCTACACATTTGGATGCACTTCTTCTCTAGGATGGTTCTCATATTGTTTCTCATCTTAAGAGCAAAAAGATATGTTTAACAAAGATGGTGCAAAAGGAAATATTCTTTAGTCTTACCACATAGAAGAAAAGGTCTTTCAAGAGTGTGAATTTTTTAAGCTCTTCGATGAAGCAATGCTAAGAAGTTTCATCTGCAAAATTCCAGAAGAAACATTTCCATCTTTAGTGAAGATGTTCTACTCCAACCTTAAATATATAGATTGAGTTCTCACTAGTGAAGTACGAAAACAACCAATCATTTTATCTCTTGAAGAGTTCGTAGAGATTTGCAACATTTCTTATACCGGTTCAAATTACGAAGCTAATGAAGATGGAGGTAATGATTTTTTTTATATCCCTGTTGTCATCTTCATCCTAGAAAATTCAAACTCTGGCATTCCTTCTCCCTCTTAGGTGGGCACAATTCACCTAGATATTCGTCTCACTCATTATGTGGAGGCACATGTTCTTATCCCAAAACATAACTTTTGGTAATTAACCAAAGCTAACATTGATGTGGTTTGGTTACATGCTAATAAAGTAGAAACAAATTGGGCTAGTGTAATGATCCATCATATGATAGACAATAAGAGAATATGGTTACTATATGGTGGCCTGATAATAAAAAATCTTAAAGTACTTTGGCTTCAACCTTAAGGACGAAGATTATTACAAAGATTGCACCGGATAATAAATAATTCAATAGGGAAAATGAGAATAATAGTTACCAAATAAGTGATGACTCACAAGCATCCCAAGGAAAAAGACGATTCCTCAAGTCAACAAGTTCCACCTCAAGAAGGAGAACCATCAAATTTGGAGGAATTCGATTATGAGATCCCTCAAACTAGTCCTACTAAAGTTATTCTCAACACTATCATAAAGAGGCAGAAGATGGCAGATAAAAAGGTTAACGTTCTAGCTTGTTTGCTCGCGCATAATAGATCTCATATGCCTTCTAGAGTGTTTCCTAATGATTATGAGGATTTTGAGTAGTCCTTGCTTAGTAGTTTTGCCTTATTTGTTTTTTTAAGCTTTTTGCACCTTTTCTATTGTATTTGAATTCTCCTTTGAATAAATGATGTATTTTATTTGTTGAATAGATGTATTATTTTCCTTCTTATATATTGATCTATGTATTTGGATGTTTTACATTTTTTAAAATCTTTTTTCCTCCTTTTTGATAATGCCAAAGGGGAAGAAGTATACTCTCAAGGGGAGTAGGGTATACTCTCTATATTTTTCAAGGTAGTATAACCAATTAAATATGTTACTATTATTTATTTGTTTATCCACATCCTTGATAGATGTGTTGTCATCATAAAAAATGGGGAGAATGTGGATCTATGAGTTTGTAGGTGTAATCTCTACAGCAGTCAGCTGACCTATATGGTTTTGATGATGACAACACTATGAGATGAAATATTTATCAAAAGTGATGATCAAGTTGTTATGCTTAGGAGATCAAGATTTCAAAATCAATCTCTTTAAAATAGCATCATATGTTAAGCGGTGTTTGCTGGAATCTTTGATAATCAAGAAGCCTTTTCAAGCCTTATCAGATAGAAAAAGTCAATTCGTAGTTTAAGTGTTAAATCATTGATGTATCAACTAAAGGATCTTGAATCTTTATATTTTGTCAAAGAGAAAAAGTGTGAAAGCAAGTCTAATTTATATCTAAGTGATCAGAGTCTTGTAAAAGATATCAGAGTAGTTCCTAAACTACTAAGACAATGCAAGCACTAACCTAAAAGCATTTTAATCTCTCCATTTAATAAAACTCCTTAAAACCCTTAGAGAACCTTCAAGGTGTTTATGGGATAATAAAAGGGTGTTCTTAAATACTAATGAGACTTATATATACTAGCTAATCGATTAAGTCTCTTATCCAATTTATTAGAACATATTTTAAAGTTTCCTAATTGTTTAAGAACACTGTTAATTTAGGGTTTTATTTATGGGAATTAGGGTTGTCATTTTTATGAAACACATAATCAATTAGGTGATAGGCATAATCGATTATAAATATTAAAAAAATCTATGGGTAGTTTTCTTTTTTGAGACTGATTTCACTCTTATAAATAAAGGGTGCTCCTCACTTCAAAAAAAAACGTGTTTTAACACTCTTTCTCACATTCTACTCATTTTCGTCTCATTTCACTAAAATTTCCTTAGTGCTTTAGGATTGAAAAGCATCATTGAGAATTTTATTGTGTATTATGGTGCATGAATAATATCGTAATTTGTGCAAGCGACTTTTTTATCTTTTGTGGAATATCTTTTGTGAAAAATCATTGTTTGTTTTGTGAGCTTAGCTAGTAAAAGCTTTTATTTGATTTGTGAGATTGTACGTTAAAAACTATGTTTAGTTTGTGAGTTTTGCTCGGTATAAAAACTCTCACTTGATTTATGAGTTTGTCCGTCAAAATCCTCATTTAATTTGTGAACTGTGCATAGTGTAAAAGCTCTCATTTGGTTCAAAATTAGCATGATATAAAATTGTGTTTGGTTTGGAGAATAGCCAATGTAAAACTCCATGTTTTGATTCACGCCATTATTAATTAATAATAATAATTAATTAATTCACGTTACACAATTAATATTAATTAATTTTCCGAGTACCAAAAGAATTGGATCAACCTCAAGTCCAAGCCCGAACTGAGCCGGCCAGCCGAACATCGGCTGTGCGCCCGCGTTTTGTTTCATGATAGTATGTTCTCACCCAACCACAAAATTAGATACCCCTTGACATGTCAAAGAAAGAGATGATGCCCAACCAACATGTGATAACTTTACTCCTCTGCAAGAGCATTCTTATTTCTAACCTTCTCCAATGCTAACTGACAATTTGCAAAAAGTCATTATAACAGTTTTTCCCAGGTTGGCATTGAAAGTTGCCATGTTATATATGCAAATGCCACAACTCCTATGGATTTAAAGTTTTTAACCACAAAATGCATCAGCCACAAGTGAACCAATTGTACAGGATACTTTTTTCAAGCAAATAACCATGGATGAAGAAGAGAGAGTTTTCTGGTCGTGTCTCGATGCTTGACACCAGTACGACACTGTCAAACACAGGTCTCAAAAACAAAATCTTTGCTATGACACACCTTAAATACCCCTTGGACATTATCATATGCCAACGGATTAGAAATGTGTTGAGCAATGATGATCAATGATCCCATTCGCAAAACACATCTCAGAGCATTGTAAGTGTATACATATAACATCAGAACTAGTAGACGTGCGTAACAAGCTACATAACCTAAATCTTCATTCCTTCTTTTCATTTTATAAGGTGTTATCAAAATTCATGTCGGTTACCTGTGAGCTATAGAAATTAAGATATTAATTTCAAACAAGGCACGTGAAGAAGATAATAAGCATTATTATTTATTACTGCCCTGACTTTGTTGCCAAGCAACACATGTATTATTACTGCAGAATTTTATAAACTATAACTATCCACATACTAGTAGATATTGACACATACTCATGCTGATAAATATTAACATATACTATAATTATATACATACTCATGCTGATAAATATTGACATTTATAGTTGATGCTGATAGACATTAACATGTATAGTTGATTTTCCTGCAGCTATTCCAATCACTGGTTATCTTGATAGGACCAAGGTATTGATTTATGACCAACAGCAGAGATCTGAACACGTAAAACCTCAAAAATAGTACCTCGACGAAGCACTCCCAAAACAGACTCATCTTCTTCTGTTGTCAAATCTGCCAAAGAAACCCAACGAAAAAGTAGCTCATCCCTACCACGGTAGCCATAGATCCACCTACCAAGTTTCCACCACTTGATGCATACATGTCGATTTGAGATCTCACAAGTCCGAAGGACTTGTACAAGTTTATCACCCTGCAAACAGAAACACTTGCATATGAAATACATATCACTCTGATCTAAAATTAAATAAACGAGTGTGAAAAGGGATGGAATACCGGAATCCCAAGGTTTGTTATGCAATAATGCACACCAACCAAGTTAACCAACACATTCATTTCAGGTTTAAACAAGAACCTTCGGATGTCTTCAAAACCAAACCTTGCACCATTAATGATTTCAAAGGCTTGCAGATAGTCCCCAACCTCCAGTGATTCATTACGTGAACAGGCTTTCAAAAACCTCTCCACAGACACTGCTCTAAGTCCCAACTCAACGTGCCTCTCGAAATACAACCTTTTCCATGTCTGCAATCCAAATTTCAAATAATTACACTTCTTAAACCAACCGGTCCAATATCTACTACGCCAACAACGATAATGAATGATATCAATTACAACTTATTTGAGTTTATCTATTAACATAAACACTCACGAAACTGTTTCCAACAAAGTATGGAAATATCTTCTAACATGTCCATAAATTGTTTTGATCTTATGTTCATAACTCTTTAGGATATCATACGAAAACAACTTATAGCTTATATGAAAATAGTTTGACTTAATTTTATCTTTTGTTATATAGTACACAACTTATAGCTTATACATAATCACTTAATTAAGGTGTTTATCCAAACAGTGCATGAGACCGAGGGATTACAAAATTATATATTCAAACATGTAGTCACTAAAACAACCATAGTTGAAAAGGGGGGAAATGAATAAATTTAGGGTTTTGATGATTACCCAGAGTCCGAAATCGAAAAAAGTGAGAAACTTTGGTAAAATAAGAAATGGGGTGAGAGGAAAAAACCTTGAGATTGGGAAAGAGAGGCGAACGGAATAAGGGCCATCTGTAGGTGAGAAGATGATGCCAAATAGAATCAGAGAAGCAGAGTTGTTTCCAGAACTTTGAACAGCAACCCAAAGCACACAAATCCCGCACCTAACAAAACGTTAAACAAGAAAAATAAAAGTTGTAGCATGATGATATTGGTGATAAAAGTGAAAATATAGTGTAAAATTGGAACCTGAAGAAGTGAAGCAATTTTGAAGTTGATATCTTCGGGAAGAGAGGTGAAGAATGGAACAGAATCCGCCATACGTTTGGAAATGAAAGAAAAAGGATGAGTGTTAGTGTTGAATTTGTAGTGTTGTTTACTTTTTCTTTGATTATCTCATGCGATGGTTCAGTTGAGTGTAGTGTTGGTGTTTAACTATTTTCTGTTGACAATTTTTTGATTGGTACTTTCTTTGTCTTTTTATTTTTAAGCTCAATGTTTAAGGTTATTTTATAAATAAAAAATACAAAAAAACAACATCACGTATCAAAACTTGTCACCTGCAACACTCAAAATATCAAGCTAAAATAAATATAAAAAAACTCAACATCTAAAATTTTTTATTAGATAATCCACTTTTTTTTTTTAAAAAATTCCAAAATTCTCCGCTTTTCAATTTATTTTTCAAATACTTTATTTTAGAGTATTGATTGTATAGTAGTACTATGTGAATCAACGATCTTTCACAAGGGTATTAGTGGTGTCGTCAATTGTATTGGAGACACCATATGATACTGCTAATTCAATTGGCGACTGAGTATAATATTTACAAGGGTGTCGTCAATTCATCTGGAGACAGCTTTAAAAGTGGATTTTTTTTATAAATAGAGGTATTCTGATCATTTAATTCCACAACTCATCTCATATCATTGTTCCACTAATAACATGTATCATTGTCGGTGAAGAAAAGTCATATATTCAAGAGAGAAGTCTCTGATGTACATGTTGTTTTGGAACATTCAAAGTTTCAACTAACTTAAGAGGGAGTTGAATCAGTGGTTAGAAGGAGACATTCATGAAAGGGAAAATTTTTGAAGTATCGAGAGACTTGATCGTCTGCGTGGGTGGGTTCGCGTTAAGACTGACAAGGATGTGAAGGAAGTCATGTTTTGATCGAATGAAATTAGTTTGATTGTTGTAATCAATTAGAAATGTTTTACGTTTCTTTTTCGTTATCTGTTTTATATATCGTATGTGTTGTTTGTTGTTAGTTTGTGGTATGTGTTATTTGTTGTTAACATTATTGTAACAAGGAATCATAAATATATGGAAATATTAGGTTACAACAATTGAAAGGATAAACTAAATCATGATACAGAGGTTGCTCCGACATTGGGACAATTTTTTCGATTGTGTCCGGGCTGACGACACATACTGCATAATCTTATCATTTTATCAGTCGTATTCATTTCGATTCTTATACGCTTGCTGTTTGGGCGTCATTTTTTATTTATTCACATCTCATCGTTATATCAAACTATGTCCCCTTGGTATGGAGGGCAATATTCCTCCATTGGTAGCACTGCGAAGCCTTCGTTGTAGACATTCATAATATTAATTGCCTTGTGAACATCAGATAGATGGCTATAAGCATCCTTACTAGCATGTGTGCATGTCGTAGTGACATGTGAGCAAGGTACACGGAAGGCCTAGTACTTGCCACAGTCACACCAAAGACTGTAACTGCATGTGTGTTGACTTTGATAGTATCCTTTTTCATCACTTTCATTATGCTTTCACTGAATACTTGACCTGACATTAACACGACACTCTATCTTTCGCCTCTTGTTACGAGAAGTGATGCCAACCTATAATAGGTTGATCTCACCAAAGCGGTGATTGGAAGGTTTCTAATTTCTTTGAAGTCCTCGTTCATGGATTCCACAAGGTTTGTCGTCATGTGGCCCCAACGACAATGTTTTTCTGTCTTATTTGTATAACTCTTTGCGTAAGTGCGTAAAAAAAACACATCTACTTTTTCTAGATGCGCTGTTTTGCTCCAAGCATGGGGTTGGTCTAGATTGTCATTCCTAGCACCTGTCAACCACAATACCAAGAGTGACCCCATACCATCTCTAACAAAATGATTATGATCAAGAAACCTAATATGGTTATGCCCCTAACACAACATCAAGATATAGCCAAAATGAGGGTACATCATACCATAGCCATAACGCCCAAACATCTTTCCATAGCCAAAACGCTCACACATCATACCCTAGCCTACACACTCAAACATCCCAATAATCTAATAGCTTTCAAACACCACTACCATTTCAACCTTTCACCAACGAAGCATTTACACCAATGTCCCCTTTCAATCATCCAGGTCACACATCAATAACCCCTTCATCACATTCGAACTACTCTGGCATGGGTCACGCACTCATTTTTAACACACAAGACCTCATGGAAATACAAGAAATTCTTATGGAATAGCTAGGAATGTTCTTGAGACTTCAACTCATCAAACACCTGGAGTGAATCAACAACGAGGGGAACAAGTACAATGAGGTGAACGAGTGCAACGAGTGAGGGTGCCTAGGGGATGTGGAACCGATGGCCAGTATGACCAACCCGGTCGCCAACATTAATTTATGTAATATTATTTTAAATTAATGATCAATGTAATTTATTTTTGTTAAATTTTTTTACAGAATTGGCTCTGTCTCCATATCAATTGGCGACTCCCTTTTAAGATTAAGACTCAGTCGTTAATTGAATTGGCAGCACCATATGGTGTCTCCAATCTAATTGGCGACACCACTAATACCCTTGTGAAGGGTCGTCAATCCACATGGCGCCACTATACAATTAGTACCCCAAAGTGGGATACTTAAAATAAAATAAAAAGTGGGGTATTTTAAAAAAAAAATTAAAAAGTGAGTTATTCTAGTAAAAATTTCCAGCATCGACCTCATTAAAACTATTATTAGGAAAATTTTAAGAGGATAAAATTCAACTAAGAAAAAATCGTACTAAAAAAAGTTCTTGCCAAAGAGCAATGTAAATAAAATGTGAATTTAATTAATTTAGGATTAATATCTTTTTGATATTTATTTTAGATTTTAAATCCATTTTCATCTCTTAATTTAAAAATAAAATTAAAAAACTATTTTGTTTTTAATTTCTTCAAACTGTGATATATTTATCATTTCAGTTAGATATATTAGTTAAAGTCAAATTTAAAGGTCATGTATTGTCCACATGGTGATGATGTAAAAGTGAAATTAGAAAACATAGTTGAAATAAAATTGATTAATATTTAGTCTTGAAGCAAAATGACTATCATTTGCTAAGAAATTCTATGGAAAAGACGATAGAGAATATGAAAATGTAGGTTCAATGAAGCTACGAACAACAGCTTTTGGAGAATAAGATGTCGTAGGCACAATGAAGTTACAAATTTCAAGACAATTAGTCATTTTTAGCTATTTTCTCATTTAGGGTTTAACTAAACATGCTATCATTTTAGGATTTTGTGTATCTCAAAAATCTAGTATAAAATTCTAGTTTTTGTGCACTTGTGTTTAGGGTTTGTTTTAGGTAGGTTAGATTGATCCCGGGCAACTTCATTGAGGAAACAATAATCCTTTTAGAATCTTAGCTCATAAGAAATCTCCTCATGACGATAACAAAGATCTCAAATTATAAGTGCATCCAACAGCTTTTCGCAATTTACTTTTAACAAATAGAGAGTTTGTTATTTCTCTCTCTATATATATATAAAGAGATAAGACACCAAATTTAGGTAACAATTTTCAAACACAATTTAAATTCACTCTTCTTTCTCACATATTAACTTAAGCATTGGAGTGGTAACCTTGTAGGTCCCCCTCTCCACCGCGCTAGAAGGTCAGAACCACCATCACTTTCGATCATCATTCCATTTTTGGTTCCTAAACTGAAAGTTAAGGTGTTGTTAGAGACGCTTTACACGTTCATCTAAAGCAATAAACTCCTCACCAGAAGCTAAGGGTGATGTCAGAGACGCTTTGCACGTCTGACTAAAGCAATAAATCCCCCACTAAAAGACAACGGTGATGCCAAATACACTTTTCACGTCTGGCCACAACAATCAAATCCCACAGGAAATAATGATCCACCCTTCTCTAGAAGCTAACCACTCTAAAGGCTCCAGTGGGTTGTCCATATGTCTACCCCAGACTGAGTTTTCATTTTATGGGGGGAAGGTGAACCGACCCATTGTCGAAAACGGCCCCAGTGACGTCTAATAAACTTCAAGGAAAGACCTCGTAAGTTCACACAGAATCCAGAGCCTCAAAATCAGGATCATACATGTATACATCTAGATCATCGTCCTCAAGATCATATAAATAGACTTTAAACAAGTAAAAAATTATTTAATTCCAAAAATGATATTATATTCACATATATTCTTCCAATACATTCGTACTACATATATAGTACATTAAAAAGGTATGGTTGGCATGGCGACTTCAGTAGAGAGATAATATTTCCATGTTTGAGCATATGATTTGCTTGTATATGTTCCCTCGATATAAGTAGAGGATAGTGAAAATGCACTACTTGATGCAAAGCATTCTCAAACGATTGCGAGATTACCCTAAGGTTGGTGCTCATACAATCAGCAAGCTATTGAGTCAGAGAAGCGTTTTCAAGAAGCAGTGAGTCTAATTTCGTCCTATCAAACGATAAATTATCCTAAGCAACAATTAAATCTTGCTTCCTACTTGCCATGACCCTCACCAGATGAGTCACCTTACCGGCCAGAGAGCCAGGGAGGTTAAGGGGGCAAAGCATCATTTATCTTAGTAAGAGAGGTAGAAGTCATATGTATTTCCTACAGGTACCTATCATGTTGAAGCTTTATATTGCAAACACTCTCCTCTAGTCGTTGCTTCTTAGAAAGGAGTTGGTTGGACCAAAGAGCTTCCCAGCGCCTAGCTCCACTGAGGTCCAAATAGCAAAAGGCACATCAGGTGTACCAAGTCTGATTAATCATTTCTTCCTCCTAAGAAGGCCCGACCAGATATGTGCAGTCCTCTTCTAAAGGATGAGTTTGGTGGTATTTAGAGGAACGAGATCTCGACCTTGTTAGTAATGGACGAGTAGGAAAACCCATATGCTCTGCAATATCAGAAGAATGTTCAAAGCGGCTTCACTCACTGGAGACCATATTCCCTACTTTATGAGTCAGATTTGTACTTCATCCTTCATCCTGTATGAACATACCTATGTTAAAACAAACACCTCACAAATATACATATTGGATACAA